GAGTTTTAATCACCAGAACACCTTTCCATAAAGGTGAGAGTCGAGAAATCCCTATGGGGTAATTCTACTCCGTCACATGGGCTTGGGTAGAAAACGAACAGCGCTGTTGATGACTGTTCTCTGGGCTCGGCGCTCAAGAATGATACCCTCACAATGCCCAGTATGGGGTGGGCACTACTGGCTCCTTGTGACAGAGGAGGGGGCTATGCTCAGAGAGGAGCGGCCCCTCGGTCAAGGTCACCCTGGGAGCAGGGGACTCCAGAGAGCATATTCAATCACAGGAGGAGGGATTCCGCGTCACCTGATGCTCTGACTCTGGAGAAGGTGGGAGCTGACTTTCACTCACTCCCACACCCTCTCCTCACCTATAGGTGTTCCTCAGAGCTCCCCCACACTGCCCACCTCTCCTCGGGCTCTCTCTGTCCTCTCTTCCCACCCTACCCCTCACCTGCCTGTGCACCCACCTGGAGCCTCCACCCACCTCCAGCTTGGACTGGCCGGTGCAGCCTTGGTGACCAGCTGGTCAGCCCCATTCCTCCTCTCTCCTCCACAGGGGAACCTCACCCTTCCTTTAAACCCCACCCACCACACCCATGTCCCCCTGGACTCCCCAGGGCCCTCGGCCTAGCTCCTGACCTTGGCAGACAGAGTGTGATCACGGGGTCTGGCTGTGCAGACCTGTTACCATGTGTGTGTCTGTGTGTCTATCTGTGTGTCTGTGTGTCTACCTCTGTGTCTGTGTATCCACATATGTGTGTGTCTCTATGTGTGTCCATGTATGTCTGTGTGTCCGTGTGTGTATGTCTGTGTGTCCGTGGGTGTGTTTGGGGGGCAGTGTGTCTGACTCTGTGTGTGTTTCCATGTGTTTGTCTATGTGCACCTGTGTATGTGTGTGGCCATGTGCATCTCTGTGTATCATGTTTGTCCGTGTGTCTGTCTGTCTGTGGGTGCATCCATGTGCCCATGTGTCCGTGTGTGTTCCATGTGTGTCTTTGTGTGTCCCTGTGGGTCTGTGTGTGCCTAGGTGTGTGACTATCTGTATCCGTGTATATGTGTCCATGTGGTTCTGTGTGTGCCCAGATGTGTGACTATGTGTATCCATGTGTGTGTGTGTTCATGTGTGGCTGTGTGTGTGTGATCAGGTATGTGACTATGTGTATCCATGTGTGTGTGTCCATGTGTGTCTTGAGTGTGTGTCAGTGCATGTACCTGTATGTGTCCATGTGGGTCTGTGTGTGCCCAGACATGTGATTATGTGTATCCATGTGTGTGTGCCCATGTGGATCTGTGTGTGTGTGCTCAGGTGTGTGACTATGTGTATCCATATGTATGCCCATGTGTGGCTGTGTATGTCCAGACATGTCCATGTGTGGCTGTGTGTGTGCTCAAGCATGTGACTATGTGTATCTGTGTGTGTCCATGAGTGACTATGTGTGTGTTCTGGCATGTGACTATGTGTATCCGTGTGTGTGCGTCCATGTGGGTCTGTGTGTACACCTAGGTGTGTGACTATGTGTATCCATGTGTGTGTGTCCATGTGAGGCTGTGACCTCGAGGAGATGGATCCCTGTTGATCCTGTGACCTTATGCCATCCTGTGTGTGTGTCCTTGTTCATGCTGTAGCTTTGTGTGTCTGTGTGTCTGTGTGTATGTGTGTGTGAGTGTGCAGGTACACAAGGCCCGTGTGTCCCCATTCTCCTCACACGTGTGAACACTGTCTCCATATGTGAAACCCATGAGTGACCTCGAGCACCACGCATCTGACGTGGGCTCCCACCTGTTGCTGTTGGTGCCATGGGGTCGATTCTAACTCCTAGTGGCTCCATGTGATGGAGTCAAACTGCACCATCGGGTGTTCTAGGCTGGAGCCCTGGTGGCACTGTAGGATAAGCACTGGACTGCTAACCATAAGGTCAGCAGTTCAGACCCACCAGCTGCTCTGCAGGAGAAAGATGAGGCTTTCTGCTTCTGCAGACATTCATGCCATTGGAAACCCTCTACAGGGCTGCTTGTGTCAAAAGCAACTTGCTGGCAGTAGACTTTGTGTTTTTTTAATCTTTACAAAAGGATCCTTGGTGGCACCATGGTTAAGTGCTCAGATAAGAACAAAAAGGTTGAAGCCATCAGTCACTCCATAAAAAAAAAAAAGATGAGGCAGTGAGCTTCAGTAAAGATGGTGGGTGTGGCTGTTATTAAGCGTCATGGAATTGGTCCTGACTCCTAGTGAGTCTGTGTGGGGTTTCCAAGGCTGTACATCTCTAGGGGAAGAGAAAGCCTCAATTTTCTCCTGCAGAGTGGCTGATGGACTCAAACCACCGACCGTGTAGTTAACAGGCCAATAGGTAACCCACTACGTCATGTAGGCTATAGTCATATACGCATATGAATTGCTGTGCAGTGATTCTGGAAGATGCAACCCATATGTGTCCAAATGAATTCAGCTTCGTTCGGACTGTCCATATCTGTGCCTAAACTTGGGAACCCCGTTGTGCATACATGGATCCATGACCTCGAGTAGCTGCATCCAAGTACTTGTAGGACACACAGAGTTTGGACAAGATGTCCAGGACCTGGGACCAAGACTGTATGTGACAGATACTGAGACGCCACATTCCTTTGACACCTGTCAGAGGTTGGTGAGCTTGAATGACTGGTGCCAACTGATGACTTGTCCCAACTTGTATCCAGTATCCCTGTCTCCATCCCCAATCACAGAACACATTGACCTTGGTCTTTCCCCACTCCTTCTTCCAGAGTCCCATAGAAAATGAGATGGGGGAAGTAGGGACACAGCTCTGGAAAAACAATAAGCAACCATTATTATTAAAGTTATAAAAGTTAGTATTTGAAAGAAAAAAAATATGTTGGGCTTCTGAGGAAATTGAAGAAAGGTGTATTGAAGCATATGGGGCAAGAGTGGGGAAAGGGGCTGTCCCCAGGGATCTTCTACTTTCTCTCCTAGTGGCCCAGGAAGGTGACAAGGTCCGGAAAGGTGAGGAGTGTGCACCCCACTCTCAGCCTTGGCAGGTGGCCCTCTTTGACAAAGGGCGCTTCAACTGTGGCGCCTCCCTCATCTCCTCACAGTGGGTACTCTCCGCAGCCCACTGCCAAAGCCGGTATGAAGGGCAGGGCTTAGAGGCCTGAGGGGTGGTCTGGGCGTGGAACTCTTAAGGCTTCAGGAGGTGGTGGCTGGGGTCTGGGCTGCTGGGTTTAGGGGAGAGGGGAGCCCAGTCCCCGGGGCTCTGAAGGAGGGAGAAGCTAGAATCCCAGACCTAGGAAAGGAGAGAGAAAGGGTCTGAATTGTATGTTTCTGAGACAGAACGGAGACGCCTAGCAAGGCTCCATCTCCTGAAACTCTAATGTGGTAAGGGTCTAGGATCTGGGATTCCTGAGTTCTAAGAAAGGAAAATCCGGAGCCTGGAGGCAGAGTTGCAGGTGTGTGAGGGCCAGGGTCTTAGGAGAGGGTAATGGAGTCCCAGCTTTTTGATCTGTCTATCTTCTACTCCACTGGGGGGTAAATCACTCGCCCGCGTAGCTCCATGCGCTTGCGCCTGGGCGAGCACAACCTGCGCAAGCGCGATGGCCCTGAACAATTGAGAGCTGTTTCCCGAGTCATCCCGCATCCAAATTATCAGGCTCGCAGCCACCAACACGACATCATGTTGTTGAAGCTGATGCGGCCAGCACGCCTCACTAGGCAAGTGCACCCTGTGGCCTTACCAAAGCAGTGCCCCCGCCCAGGGGATGCCTGCGTGGTGTCTGGCTGGGGCCTGGTGTCCAGCGATGAGCCCGGGATCACTGGGAGCCCTGAGTCACAAGGTGCGTGAGAGACGCTGGATGTTGATCCCTGAGGAGCACTAGTCTCCAGGGCCTCTGGGTGGAGGTAACAAGGGTTGAGTTTATGAGTCCGTTACAAGTTTCCTTTCTTTCCCAGTGAGTCTCCCAGATACGTTGCATTGTGCCAACATCAGCATTATCTCCACTGCATCTTGTAACAAGGATTACCCTGGACGTCTGATGAAAAACTCAATGGTGTGTGCAGGTGTGGAGGGCGGAGGCACCGACTCCTGTGAGGTCAGAGCCGAGAGGGAGCCACCCGGGATGGGAAGGTGGATGGGGGAAAGTCGGGGTATTTGGATGAGGGCATGGAACCAGAGGATACGTTTGGGGGTGAAGTTGGAAGAGTAGTTAGAATGGCGAGTTTAGGTTGGAGTTGGGATTGGCTAGAGTTTGGGTTGAATGACCATGAGGTTGGATTGAGACTCATGGGTTGGGGTTGGGAATGGGTATATTTGCTTTGCTTTTGGATGGGAAACATATCGGAGTTGAATTGGGAATGGAAGTAGGTTTGGTTGGAAGACCTAGAAACAGGTGTTGAGCTGAACAGGATATGGGTATGGACTTGGTTTGATTTGGAATGGGGGTGATGTGGGGATGATGTTAACCTGGGCTGAGGTTGTCTGGAGTTGGGTTGGAATTAGGTTCAATGAGTTGTACTGAGTTTAGTTGGGTTGGGGTTGTGTAGGGTTGCACTGGGTTGAATTGGGCTTTGAGCCCCATGGGATGGGTTGAGTTCAGTTGGATTAAGTTCAGTTGATCTGGGGTTGCATGTATTATTGTTGTTAAGTGCTATGGAGTCAGTTCTGACTCAAACCAACCCTGTACAGGGTTTCTGAGGAGCAGCTGGTGGGTTTGAACTGCTGATATTGTTGTTCACAGCCTGGTGCTTATCCTACAGCGCCACACTAGGGTTGCACGGAGTGGGATTATTGGGCTGAGCTGGGTTCGATTGATTTTGCATTGAGGTTGTAAACAGGAATGGGAATGGGGCACGCGAATCAGATGGTTTCTAACTCAAGCTGAAATCCCTCTTCTCTCTACAGGGTGATTCTGGAGGACCCCTAGTCTGTGGGGGATTCCTGCAGGGCATTGTGTCCTGGGGTGATGTGCCTTGTGACACCACCAGCAAGCCCGGTGTCTATACCAAAGCCTGCAACTACCTGGAGTGGATCAGAGAAACCATGAGAAGAAACTGACTGGTTTCATCTACTGACAGAGCAGAAGTTCCACTGGCTGACTAGCTGCCCCATCTTCACCTGGGACAAGACTGGATCATCCCCCAAGACCCTGTCCAAGCCTCAGATTTAGCCATGGACTTGTTCCTTCTGGGGTCAGAGATGGTGCTCAGGGTCACCTGTTAAACACCAAGACAGCAGAGACCACTGATCCAAGTTTCTGTGCATAAGTTTCTGTGACTGTCTTCTGGGGATGGAGGGAAATGAGAGTCAGAGCCTGCGTGGGGAGGAGACACATAAGTAACCCAGAACTACCCTACCCTCTTCCTTTTCACCCAGTGCTCTGATCCCTAGGTGAGAATAAAGGGCATGAAGCAGAGCTCTGTGTATTCAACACATGACCAGCTGTGTGATTGATCAGGAGCAGCTGAGACCCAGTCTCCCTCAACCTCAGTTTCTTCTGACAGTGGGCATCATAATATGGGCTTGCTCATAGAGTTGTCACAGTGCATTCATATGAACTGGTAAGAAGAGTGCCTGGCACTGGGTAAACACGCCTATCTCCGGATGCCCAGTGAAAAGGTCTAGTACACACGACATTACCAGAATTTACGTATTTTTCTTCAAGGGTTAGGACTTCCTGGTCTTGTTAGGTGCCATTGAGTCCATCTTGACTCATAATAGCATCATGTGATAATAGAATTTTGCCATAGGGTTTTCTAGGCTATAATCTTTCTGCCAAGCTGCTTGGTGGCTTCAAACCACCAAACTTTCGGTTAGCAACACAACACTTAACTGTTGAACCACCAGGGATCCTTAGTGATGTTGTTAAGTGCTGTCAGGTTGGTTCCAACTCAACGATCCTGTATTGGGTTTCCAAGGAGCGGCTGGTGAATTTGAACTGCCGACCTTGTGGTTCAAACTGACCTTGCAGTCTAGTGCTTTAGCTATGGTGAAATGGCAACTGTTCTTCAGGCTCCTGATAATACAGCAGAGCCTGGGCTCGATGAGTTGCTGTGATTTGACTGAACAGCCCAGATAATGTGTCAGAAGCTTATCGATTAACTTTTGAGGCCATAGGGATCTAGTTCCTGATACTCTTTGGAGACTCCAAAATGTGATCTTCAAGGTCACTGAATGTTGAAGTACCTCAACTTGTCTCTGAAACTTACACATTTAATTGGCAGGCAGGGGAGCATTAGATTTTGCACTGGGAGTGCTCTTGACTTAGGAAGAAAGGGACTCCAACATCCCTGGGACTTTGAAAGGTGGCAATATGAGCTTCCAGATGTAGGGAACAGGAAGTGGGGAATCACTGGGATCTCCACATTGTTTGGAGGACAGGAATAACCCTGGATGTTGCAATGGTAGGGAACTTACTCTGAGACACACAGGAAACTTTATCTGCATTCCTGCATCTGGGGTGACTAGGATTATGGGTAATTTGTACTCAAGACTTTATTATAAGAGGAGTAATGCACTTAGACATATTATCGGGAAGGACCAGTCCCTGGAGAAGGACATCATGCTTGGTAAAGTGGAGGGTCAGTGTAAAAGAAGAAGACCCCCAATGAGATGGATTGACACAGGGGCAGCAGCAATGGGCTCGAGTGTAGCAACAGGACCGGGCAGTATTTTGTTCTGTTGTGCATAAGGTGGCTATGAGCCGGTACCAACTCAATGGCACCTAACAATAACAACAATAAATGCATTTGGGGCACCAGATTCCGATCTGGAGGCACGGGAATCGAGTTGTGAGCTAAGGCTCACGTGCAAGGGGAGCTGGGAGCTGAGGGACTGATGTCTGGTCTCAGAACCCCACTGATGGAATCCGAGGGCACACTGAGACTTGGGTGCAAAGGGCTGACATGAGGATTAGGCATATGAGACTTTGTACCCGGGGGTCAGTGATTCCCCCACCCCTGTTTCTGGGCCCCTATCAGCCTCTCCTCACTGGTGCTCTCCTCAAGACCAGGTCCTGTGAGCTACAGGTCCTGCCCAGTCTGACCTCAGTCCCTGGGAACGCATCCAGGGTGACCCAGGGTTCTCAAAACAACAGGTGCTGCTTCTCCCGCCCCTTCCACGGCTTTGAGGGTGGGCAGGGCCTTGACCAGCATCTGTATGACTTTGAGGTCAACGTAGTGCACTGGGAGAGTTGAGGGTTTTTAAAGGTTCCCCAGGGAGGCTCCTCAGCATCTAGCTGACTACCAGCCTGTCCCTGGACACCTCCGTCACTAGATGGTTCCTGATCCTGTGCCTCATCCTGCCTCTGGGGGCTACTGGAGGGGAGGATGCAGGAGGGTGAGTGGATCCTACACTCATGTGGCTCCTCTTTACCCCCCGTAAGTCCCTCCCTCTCACCCAGCATCTCAGCCTCTCCCTCCAATCCACAGGCTCAGACACCAACTGTTTTCCCATCTCTCCTAGACCCATGTCAGAACTTGACCCTCTTCCCTCCCTGCAGTCCTCATGCCACACTAGGTCCCTGCTCCCTGCCAAGAGCTCCCAGAACTTCCTTCCCAGACAGCTCCCTAACTTCATCCCTTTTACCAAAGTGGCAGAGCCTGGACCTCTCTGTCTTTCCTTCCTTGGTGGACCCCAACTCTTCCAAGGAGCTCACCCAATCCCACCAGTTCCTGGACCCTGATCATACCCTCCCTTCTATACTCTAGATTTCAGGGGTCCAGTGATCCTGCTCTTGATCCTCCAAATCCTACCATAACCCCCTGACTTTTCCCAACCAGCTGTCAGCTCTCAGTCCCTGGCTTCTGCACCCCCAATCCTGATCCAATGACCCCAAATTCCACCAGAAACCCATGAGTCTTCCCAAGCAAATGATCTGACATATGGCTCCTTATTGGCCTTCATCCTGATATGGGGAGGTGGGCTCTGTAGCCTGCCCCTCCTTCCTCAGCTCTTTGTCCCAGTGCCCCCATCCAACACCTCCCTCCTAAAAGTACCACACAAATCCTCCAACCACCTCTCCCGGCTCCAGCTCTTCTCCTACCTGAAACTCACCTCTCTAAGTCTGGCTTTCTGGAGTCCCAAGATTCCAATACCGTCTCCTTCCAATATATGATTCTTGGACACCACACACACATAGTAGGCCCTCTAGTCCATCCACAGACACTTGGAGCCTGTTTCCCACACCCTGCTCTATTCCTGCCCAGGAGAACCCAGTTCCCTTCATTCAGTACCATCAGCCCTTCACCCCTCCCCTTCAGAAACAAAGAGCCCCGCCCTCAGTCTCCTCCACAATGACTGTGTCTCACTGGGGTTCCTCCAGAGCCAACTCTCCTCTAGGACACCTCTCCCTTCTCAGCATGCTATTCTAAGTCACAGGACCCCACAGCCTCACAGGCTCCCTCTCCCAGCCCTTAACACTAACACTTTCCTTCACCCTTGAATCTGGAACCCCAAAGCCCCACTGACCCCTTCCAGGGACCCCCAAGTTAGTCCCCAAGGTTCCCAGCCTGGATGTCCATAATTGGCCTCCCAGACCTGATTCCCTAAGTCTGCATCCTACTCATAAACCCAATAGCCCACCAAAGCTTTGACCCTTCCTCAACCTGGAATCCCTTAAACCTGTCCATCCCTACTCTCACAGCCCCAACTTCCACTCATGGGGTTCTAACCCCTGGATTCTGGGATCTCTGCTCCTCTCAGAAACACAGCTTCCTGTGCCTCAGTTTCAGACCCCAAGCTGCCCAATCCCCCACCCCACTACCTGTTCTACAGACCACCTTGGTGTCTCCCACCCTGATTCCAGTATCTGCTCAGATCTCAAAGCATGAAGTTTTCATTTCTTAATCACGTCCCTTAGTCTCTAACAGCCAGTCTTCAAGATTTGATGTTGTTAAGTGAGGTGGAGTTGGTTCCGATTCATAGCAACCCTGTGTAGCTGGTACGTTTGAACTGCCGACTTTGTGGTTCAAACTGAATTTGTGACCCAGTGTTTATCCTACAGAACCACACTAAGACTCCGTGATACAACCCCCAAATGCCACCAGATACCCCTGCTTCTTCCCTATCAAACTATCTGGCCAATCACCCACATGTGCCATCCCAGGCATGGCTGCAGAATTCTGGGCCCTTGTCAACAACACTTGCCCATCTCCACCTGCCTCTAACTCTGATCCTTGTCCCCAGTGCCCCTCTCAATCTCTGCCCTGCCTGCCAAGGCAGCCTCCCCTGAACCAGTACTCACTCCATGGGTGCTACACCCCTCCCCCATCCAGTCCCAGATCATTGGAGAGTAGGAGTGTCTGAATATCCCCAGCTGTGGCAAGTGGCTGTGTAGTTTACATGAAGTCTGAGTGTCAGGGTGTCCTGATAGACCCCAAGTGTGTGCTCACAGCCGCCCATGGCAGAAGCAAGTGAGTAGGGGCAGGGGGCTTGAGGAGGGGTCACCTGGGTTTCCACTGAATGAGCAGGGTACCTTTCCCCTAGGGAAGTTAAAGGAGAGACTGGGAACAAAAGGGAGAGAGAGAAGGTGGTGATCCAGGTCAGAGAGAGACAAACAGGGGTGGGGCTGGACCAGCCCACAACATCCGTCCCATGGCTGAGTGTCTTCTCTGTGTCTCACTCTCTCTCTCTCTCTCTCTATCTATCTATCTCTCTCTTTCTCTGTCTTTTGGTCTCACTGTCTGTCTCTCTCTCTCTCTGTCTCTTGGTCTCACTGCCTCTCTCTCTCTCTGTCTGTCTTTTGGTCTCACTGTCTCTCTCTCTCCCTCTCTCTCTCTCTGTCTGTCTTTTGGTCTCACTGTCTCTCTCTCTCTCTCTGTCTCTTGGTCTCACTGCCTCTCTCTCTCTCTGTCTCTTGGTCTCACTGCCTCTCTCTCTCTCTCTCTCCGTCTCTTGGTCTCACTGCCTCTCTCTCTCTCTCTATCTATCTCTCTCTCTCTCTCTCTCTCTTGGTCTCACTGTCTCTCTCTCTCGTTGTCTCTTGGTCTCTCTCTCTCTCTCTCTCTCTCTCTGTCTGTCTAGCTCACTGGCTCTGGTTGCATCTCTCTCTTGTGACCATGTTTTGGTCTCTATCGCCCAGTCTCTATACTGGCTCTGTGTCTCCTTCTGTCTCGTCCTTCATCTCTGACCACAGCTCTGACCACTCTTTGTCTGGGTCTCTGTCTAACTCTTTGTCCCATCATTCGACACCCACACCCCCCAGAAATCCTCCCAGGACCTGTGGGAGGCTCTCTGTCCCCTCTGCCCCCAGTCCCACCCTCTAGGATAATAAGTCTGCTCTAGGGAGACTCTAGGAAGGACTGGAGTGAGCTGGAGCTTGGGAGGGAGAAGCTAGGGAAGGAGAAAGGGAAAGAGTAGAAGAGGGAGGAAGGGTGATCTGGGAGGGAAGGGGCCAGGCTCCCACCCACTGGGGAACCAGTACAACTGTGGCAGCTGCAGCCTTTCTCTTCCTCTCCCACCCCCACCCCCAAACCCACCTCCACCTTCCTGTCCCATTTCCCTCATCTCTCAGCTTCCCAGGTCTTCTCTGTCCCCATTTTTCCTGCTCTGTCCCTCTCTCAAGTATGTCTGTGTCTCATTCCCCTTCTGTTCTCCTCATTCCCTGTTTTTCCCTGTAGTCATTTCTCATTGTTTCTCGTTCTGTCTTTTTCCTTCATTTCGCACTAACTCTCACACACACACACACACACACACACACACACAGAGACAGACAGAGAGAGAGAGAGATTACCAGATCTGGGCGGATCACCACAACCCGGAAGAATCTGAAGAGACAGTCCAATGTGCCCACATCAGCTTCCACGTCCCCCAGCCAGGCTACAACATGAGCTTCCTGAAGAATAGGAATAATTCTCCATACCCCAAAAAGGATTACTACAGCAATGACATTATGCTGCCCCACCTAAAGAAGTCCATGGAGATCACAGAGGCTGAGAAGGTACTGGACCTGCTCTCTGGGGAGCACCTGCATCGCCTCGGGCTAGCGTAGCACTGAGCCAGAAGGCAACACTTGATGAACCATGTTGGATGAAGTCAACTCCGGGGTCTTAAGGAGGAGGGCGCTGAGACTCCTGAGTCTGAAGGAAGAGGGGGTGAGGCACCTAGGGGTGGAGGAGGAGGAGACAGTGGTCCAAGATACCCAGTTCTGAGGAAGGAGGGTGCTGAGTGAGACCCCCAGGTATGAAGAAGGAAGGGCTAAGACTTCCAGGTCTGAAGGAGGAGGGGCTGAAACACCCAAGTCTGAGGGAGGAAGGGGCTCGGGATGGGGTCAGCATCTGCTGAAGTAGACACCTGGGACTTCTGACTCTGCAGGAGGACCAGGTGGAAGAACATGGTGGGCCAGACACAGCCCTGTTTCTCCCTGGCCTGTAGCTGTGTGTACCCAGATGATATACAATGTGAGCATCTCAAACACGTGTCCAATGACGTGTGTGCCAGTGCCCAGACCAGTGATAACAAAGTCTATGCTGTGTGCTGGGCATATGAAGGGCAGCAAAGATGCCTGTTGGTGAGTCAACCTCCCCTCGCCCCACAAATCCACCAGCAGGATTGAGGGAGGGGCCCCGGTACCATGTGGGGTGAGGACCCCAAGCTCAGGAGACATTTGTCTCCACTACTTCCCAGCTGTAGCTGCCTTCACTCCCGCCCACAGCATCGTCCAGGCCCACTCACCCTCCCCATCACAGTTCCTCCATGCCTCCCTTCACCGCACATTTACTGACCACTTGCTATAAGCCCAGTGCTGTCCTAGACCCCGGCAGAACAGGAGTGAACGAGACACAGAAAGTCCTCTCTCTTAGATGGGGACAGGGATCCACAGTAAACACCACACATAAATGGCAGTGAGCATCAGGAGAAGAGATGGGCTGTGGGGACACGGAGGAGAGCTAGGAGTACTGGGAGGAAGAGATCCCACTGACAAGGTGAGACTCAAATACCTGGAGCAGGTGAGGGGAGAGCCCTGTGGAAGTCTAGGGGAAGAGCAGAGGGAAGAGCAAGTGCAAAGCCCTGTGGTGGGGTGGGCTGGTGAGTGAGGAAGAGTGAGGAGCCCCTGTGGGTGGAGCTTAGTGATGAAGGGGAAGAGGGCAGGAGAGGACATCAGAGAGGAGAAGGGATAGACCTGCAGGTATATTTCTCTCCCTTGGAGGGAATTGCAGCTGTGGGTGTTTGAGGCTCTGACTTGGGTGTCAAGGGTTCCCTCTGGTGACTGTGTGGGGAACAGACTGCAGGGAGCCTATGAATCAGGATGACGCTGGGTGCTGGACCAGGGTGGTGGCAGGGAGGGCAGAAGGGTCCCATTCTCCAGATGTGTGAAAGAGAGCCTGCAGGTTATGCTGACTGATAGCAAGTGAGGAGCGAGAGGCAGAGAGGAGTCAAGGACCCTCCCAAGCTGTTGTCCTCAGTGACAGCTGAGTATCTCCAAGGAGACAGCTCACTGCACCACACACACACACACACACACACATACACATGTACCCCTCCACCACACACACAGATGCACCCCCACCCACACATCACCCTGGTGAGAACCAGGTCCAAGATGAGTCCAGTGGCTTCCCCCAAATCCTCTCCTCCTTCACCCCAGGTTCCCCAGCCCCCCAGCTACTGAACCTCCCATCCCTCCACCTTCCCACTGTGGATCAATCCCAAAGCTTGATCCCTCCTGCCTCCCCACCCCGGCTCCCTGATTGTCCCTCCTTTCCATTCCACTGCCCAGCCCCAGATCAGTCCTTGTCCATGGACACCTGGATCCTCTCCCAGCCTTCAGTACCTGCCCTTTAGCCCAACCCCCACCTGATCCCAGTGGGTCATTCACTCTCAGAACTGACCCTGCCCCTCCCCTGCTCACAGTCCTTCTGTGGCTCTCCAGTGCTTCTAGGGTGGGGTGTCCAGTTATGGCAAACTTCCTGGGAGAGCTGGCATCTGAGATAAGAACTGAGGGTGAGGGCTGGTGTAGACGGATCCTGCCCATCCTCCCACTGACCTGTCTGCGGGGACTGACTCCTGGACATCCAAGTGCCACCATCCCCACTGGGCAGAACTCCAGCCCCTGTCCCCTCACTGGGACTCCCTGCCAACCTTCTTGTGGGTCTGGACTCTGGAGGCAAATGTCTCTTCCCAGACCTGGGCAGCTTCTGTCTCTGAACTGCAAGTCCAGGTCTGAGGCGGGGTTGCCAGGCCTGACCTGGGTCTTGCTGACCTTTCTCATGCTCCCCCTTGTGTTCTTAGGGTGACTCGGGCGGCCCACTGGTCTGCAATGGCGTGTTGCAGGGTATCCTGTCTTCGGGTCACAACCCATGTGGCAAATCCGAAGCGCCAGCTGTCTACACGTACAGAGTGATTTCACACGTGGACTGGATCCGGGCCCTCACCTCGCCTGTACCCACATTAAACTCGAATGTACAGCAATAGCTGGTGTCTTCATCCTTTATGGACGCTGGGCCCCTGGGAGCTCAGGAGGCACCATGTTGTCCGGAGACTGAGGTCAGCAGCAGGGAGGGAAAGGAAGGGGCAGAGGCAAGTGCAGACAAACAGGCCGGCCAAGTCTCCAGCCCAAACAGGCAGGGCAGGGACAAGAGGCCGGTTCCCAGGCCCCGGGGCGGACCCTGCCCTGATGTCTAGGCGAGTAATGGAGGGTCAGGAGTCAGAGATGGGTTGGTTGCTCACGTTTTATGATGGGGAGGGGGCTGGAAACCAGTAAGGCAGCAGAGAGGAGTTAGACAAGACGCACCTCCCAGAGAAGGGGGCTTATTTTGAAGAGGGGCTGACTACATGGAACTCCCGTCAGCTTGTAGTTCTCCTGGCCGCTGAGTGGACATGGGGGCGGGGCAGGGCCTCTAGAATAGGAGTCGGGGATGTGGCAATCCTGGGTTTGGAAGCATGGAGTGAGGTTTCGAGGCCTGAAAGAGGGGAGACTTGCTGGGATGGGACCTGACTAGACTGAGGGTGAAACCACGCAAAAGACCCCTAGGCTGGCAGGACAATGGGGGTGGGCTCCGAAGAAGGACCTAGTGTAGAGACAGGGTGAGAACTTAGTAGATGGGGCCAGAGCCTCTCAGGTGGTCCTAGCTCAAGAGCTTTGTTTTCAGGAATTGAGGCCTTTTAGGAAGGTTGGGCTCCTAATGGGAGGCAGTTCCTTAACCTCCGGGAGGTGGACACGCTGAAGCGGACGGGGCCCAGCACCTAGCCAAGGTTACTGGTCAGGGCTCATCTGAGGAGTTCAACGCCTTAAGAGAGTTTAGGGGTTCCCTTATGTTGACTGAATAAACTTCGGGCAGTTTCAGCATGCCCTCTGGGGCCAGCTGTTTGGACAAACGCCTCGAGGCTCTCCGGCGGAAGTTCATCTGCCATTCCTGGGAAGGTTCCCCTCTGCTCCACATGCCCACGTGGTTCAAATAAGACAGCGTTCCTGAGAAGGGGCATTCGCTTCTGACCCCTCTCCTCCTTTGTGGATGATCTGCCCCTCCCACTCACTTCCATCTGACCCAAATCTCTACCTCCTGTTCTCCCAAGACTTGTCTACTACCCTGCAAAGCCCCACCATTTCCTCCCCAAACCCACTCTTCCTTCTGGGACCCCGCCCTTCCTCCCAAGACCTCGCCCTTCCTCCCAAGACCACGCCCTTCCTCCCAAGACCACGCCCTTCCTCCCAAGACCACGCCCTTCCTCCGTTGAGGCCCCGCCCTCACCGGCCCACAGCATCAAGGCACTGGCGCCCCAGCACAGGTAGAAAGTCACCAGGTAGGATACCTGTGGCTTTGGGTGCAGCATGTGGCAGTTGATTATGAAGAGCATCAGACTGAAGAATATCAGGAGCCCTGCACTAGGGTGGGGCCAGAGATGGACATGAGGCTGGACAAGGACCACCAAAAGAGGAAAGAGAAATATCTTTTCCCACCCTCCATGAGAAGCAGAGGGAAGTGCCCACATCCCTGCAAACACAGATACCTAGAGACCAAAGAAAAAAGACAATGAAATAGATGATACCGCTCACACTCCCTACATGCAATTTCACACACACTCATTCACAATGACAGAAAAAAAGGAAAAAGAAAATCACGCAGAGATCCCAAAAGACATTCAAAGGCCGGGACTCTGGTGGTGCCTCCCCAGAGTCAGATAAACCCAGGGAGAGATGCTGCGGGCAGAGAGGGCACCCCTCTCTCTGAGCCCACACTTACCAATGCTGATGCTGAGGAAACTGAAGACCAGGTCGACTTTGGTGAGGCGGCGGAAGGATGGCCGGAAGGAGATACCCATGCAGGGCAGGAGGATTAGGCACAGACCCACAGCCAGAATCATGAAGCCCATACCCAGGTGGATGAGAACTGGGGGAGGAGGAGGTAGGGCTGAGAAGGGACCTAAGCACCCACTAAGGCGTTTCAACAAACCAGCAGACATTTCACACAAATGCCCCAGAGTCATGCGCATGCACTCCTCAAGATTGCTCCCAATGCTGGACAGCTCAGTGAACTCCCTAAGGTTACCCCTGAACACTCCAGAGTTAATCTCCACTAACATACAGACACCCCCAAATTCTAGCTACAGACACCCCCAAATTCTAACTACAGACCCTCAAAATCATTCACACTCACATCTGCAAAATTACCTCCTACAAACCCCCAGACAACTCCCATTCCTACAGCCAACCCCAGGTACCTCTAAAGCCAACTCAAAGTCATCCCCACTCAACCCCAGAGTTGTCCTAAACATTCCTGCTTCTCCCCAAATTCCACAGACACCTTCAACATCAACCCCACGCAGAACACTTTCTTGGGGAATGCCCTCCATCCCAATCCCATAATTGTGGGTTGAGAGATTCCCATTGCATAGCCTGCTCTCTGGGCCACAAAGGTTGTCACATGACTCTGTATGGTGCGGTGAATGACTTAATACTGCCCTGCTAACTGCAGTCTTTGTGACTCCCACCCTGGGTGGACTGGGTGGGACCATGCGAATAAGTTGTATGGAGTCTGTGATAGTTGGGCTTACGTGTCAACTTGCTTAGGTCTTGAGTCTCAGTATGTGTGGCTGTCCTCCATTTGGGATCTGGTGTATTTATTCTCTATTTGGGGATGTGATAGGGACCCTGACCTCCATGTATTAATGAGGCAGGATTCAAGAGGACTAAAGTCACAGACTTTAATCACATTGGCGTCTTTGCTTGAGTCCAGGACCCTCGCACTGAGAACCTCCTAGACCCAGGAGACACAGAAGGAAACAATGTAACACTGGAAAATGCAGGAGGCAGTGAGAAGCAGTGGCAGAGAAACCATAGCAATGGAGGCAGCAGAACCAGGAGATGAGCAAGAAATTGTCTTTCAAGTCACTTAGCAAATAGCTGAGTGCCTTCAGGCAAGAGGCTAGCTAGTAATGAAGCTGCGAGCTAAGTCCTACCATGTTCAATAGACTCCTGTGAACCCGGAGATCTGTTTGGTCAGCAGTATGGCAAGACCTGGTGACTCTTGGGCCCAGAGACAGTGACATAGCCACAGAGGACTAGAGTGGAGAGTAAAAGCTGATAAGAAGAGAGGGCATATGCACAAGAACACCCACACTTGCAGATAATACCCACTTGACCTGACCTCAATGACTGGATGATCAGAGCTCAACTAGAAGAAGAAAGAAGAGGGAAAATAGAATAATCTGATACAATTTGATGAACTTGACCTACACCTATGGATGCAGTAGCTCAAAAGAGGGAACAAATCTTTACAGAGAGGATCATTCCCACCCCCTGGGTAAACAGGGATGGGCAACTTGGACATTGGCTACCCAAAATGGGGAGGCTACAAAGGCAAGAAGTGACTGGCTTACAAGCTTTCCAGAGGACACAGAGGAAGGTAGAATCTCCACTGAGTGGTATCCAATCTGTCCGGGCATGACTGATAAAAGGAGATGGGGCTAGCACTCATGTGGTACAATAGTGAATAAATACTATTAGGACTGACTGTGAGGGTTGGAAATGTAAAGGTAGACATTTTGTAGCAAAAGGAGTGGATTTGTTCATTCTTCTGGTAGTCTGTGGTAGATTCCGTATTCTTCACCAACACCATAATTCAAATGCATCGATTCCTCAGTCCTCCTTACTCATTGTCTAACTTTCGCATGCATGTGAGGCCACTGAAATACCGAGGCCACAGAAAGCAATTGTATTATCCTTCCTCCATGGTTTGCATTGGTAGGATGCAATGCAGAAGTTGCTAATGGCCCCCATGGCCACTTCAGGGCACAGCTTGCCTGAGAAGCCAACACAGAAGAAACTTTCATGAGAAGCAACAGATCTCAGGCACCATTCTGAGAGCATCAGCACCCACCAACGCCTGAATCAGGATAGATCCATCACCCTGGACTCTTCCAGAACTTGAATCCATAAGCTTCATGTTCATCTTACTTAAACCAGTTTGAGTTTGGGAGTTAGAAAAGAGATATTCAGAATAAACAAACAAGATGAATGCTGTACACAGTGTCCTGGCCACCGCTCCCCCGTCAGCTTGTCATACTGTTGTGGTTTGTGCATTGCTGTGATGCTGAAAGCTGTCTCATCAGTATTTTAAATACCAGCAAGCTCGCCCATGGTGGACAGGTTTCAGCTGAGCTTCCAGACTAAGACAGATTTGGAAGGAGAGGCAGTCTACTTCTGAATGTTTAGCTACTGAAGATCTTATTCATAGCAGTGAAACACTGTCAGAAAGCACCAGAATATCGTCAGATATAGTGCCAAAAGATGAGACCTCAGGTTGGAAGGCACTCCAAATATGACTGGGGAAGAGCTGCCTCCTCAAAGTAAAGTTGACTGTGATGACAAAAATGGAGTAAAGCTTTCGGGATCTTCGTTTGCACAAGTCAAAATGAGGAGAAACAGTTGCAAAACATCCATTAATAATCAGAGCACGGAATGTATAAAGTATGAATCTAGGGACACTGGAAGTTGTCAAAAATGAAATGGAATGCATAAAGATCGATATCCTAAGCATTACTGCGCTGAAATGGACTGCTACTGGCCATTTAAAATCTGACAATCTCATGGCTTACTATGTCGGGAATGACAAATTGAAAAGGAATGGCACCGCACTCATCATGGAAAGAACATTTTGAGATCTTGAAGTAGGATAGGATAATATCCACATGCCTACAAAGAAGACCAAGGAGCATAGTGGTTACGAGTTGGGCTGCTAAGCTGAAGGTCAGCAGTTTGAAACTACCAGCTGTTCCACAGAAGAAAGATGAGGCTTTCTGTCCCATAAAGATCTATAGCCTCGGAAACCATATAAAGGGTGACTATGAGTCAGAAGGAGCTCTGGTAGCGTAGTGGTTACGAATCGGGCTGCGAACCTTAAGGTCAGTGGTTCGAAACTACCAGCCGCTCCGCGGGAGAAAGATGAGGCTTTCTACTCCCGTAAAGATTTACA